AATCGAACAATTTTAGAGAGAGTTAGATGCATGTTGACTAGTGTTGGGTTAAAGAAGGTGTTTTGGGATAAGGTTGTTTCGACAGCAACATATCTGATAAATATATGTCCTTCAACTGCATTAGATATGAAGACACCTGAAGAAGTTTGGTCGAGACATCCACCAGATCTCGATAAACTGAGAATATTTGGCTGTGTAGCCTATGCTCACATTAGGCAAGACAAGGTTGAACCTAGAGCTCTGAAATGCATGATCATGGGATACCCAGAAGGATTCAAAGCTTATAGGCTATGGTTCCTAGTGCCAGGTCACAAGAGGAGTATCAGCAGTCGAGATGTAGTTTTTAAAGAAGCTGAAATGACTTTCAAGAAAACTGATGATGTTGGTCGAAGTGCAGAAATATCTGACGAAGAGTTGGAACAAGAAGGGATTCTTGTTGAGGTGGAGGGCATGTTGATGGTGAATTGCGTATCCCTAATAAAGTCGGAGAAGAAGCAGAATATGATTAGAAAGTTGAGAAAATTATCAATTCCTACCTATTAACAATAGATAGGTCGAGACGAGTCATCAAGCCACCTCAGAGACTTCAGTATGCACATCTTATTGTTTATGCCTTAATCTCTGCAAGTGAGGTTCTAGATGAAAAACCTAAAGACCATAAGGAATTTATGAGGATTCGAAATAGGACTGAATGGATGAAGGCCATAGATGATAAGATGAAATCTCTTCATGATAACAACACTTGGAAACTGATCAAGAAACCTACTGGAGCAAGGTTAGTAAGCTGTAAATGGAATTTTAAAGTTGAAGGAATCGAAGGAGTGGCTTCGAAAAGATACAAGGTAAGGTTGGTCGCAAGGGGTTTCACTCATAAAGAAGGTGTCGACTTTAATGATGTGTTTTCTCATGTTGTAAAGCACATGTCCATTTGAATGTTGCTTTCCATGGTGGCACAGTTCGACCTTGAACTGGAATAGATGGATGTGAAGACTTCTTTCTTGTATGGTGATCTAGATGAAATAATCTTGATGAGGCAGATTGAAGAGTATGTCGAGAAGGGGAAAAAGATTATGTGTACAAGCTGAAGAGATCGTTATATGGGCTGAAACAATCTCCTTGATAGTGGAATAGGAGATTCGACAAGTTTATGACACGTATAAGTTTCATTAGAACTCAGTTCTATCACTATGTTTACTTCAGATTTTGACCTGGTAATTCATTTGTTATGTTGTTTCTTTATGTGGACGATAATCTCATAGCAAGAAACAATGTCGATGATGTAATGAGGGTGAAGGTTGAACTCAATAAGGAGTTCGACATGACGGATCTGGGAGTTGCATTCAGAATTCTTGGGATTGACATCTGAAGAGATAGAAAGAGGTTGAAATTACACTTATCTCAAGAGGCATACCTATGGAAGATTATCGAAAAATTTGGTATGTCGAATTCAAAGGTTGTTGTGACTCCAACAAATCCTCAATTCAAGTTGAGTATAGATCAGTGTCCCAGTACTGATGTCGAAAGAGATTATATGAATAGCATCCCATATGCTAATATAGTAGGTTCTTTGATGTATGTTATGGTTTGTACTAGACCCGATATAGCATATGCAGTAAGTCTTGTAAGCAGGTACGTGAAAATCCTGGAAAGGCTCACTGGCAAGTATTGAAGTGGATTCTAAGGTACATAAATGGGTCTCTAAACAGAGTCCTAATTTATGGTGGAGCCTTGGGTAAAGATAATAAAGCAGTAATCAAAGGATATAACGACTCTAATTATGCAGGTTATATAGATTCCAGAATCTCTATTTTTGGATATGTTTTCACTATGTTTGGCACAACAATTAGTTGGAAAGCAACACTTCAAAAGATTGTAGCCTTATCAATCACTAAAGTGGAATATATCGCTCTCACCGAAGTTGTGAAAGAAGAATTGTGACTTGAAGGTTTTGCTAATTAGCTGAAACTTCAAGGTCGAGTTATCACTATTAAACGTGATAGTCAAAGTGCAATACACCTGTCGAAAAACTCAGTCTATCATGAGCAAACCAAGCACATCGATGTTAGGCTGCATTTCGTCATAGGGGTAATCGAGCATGGAGAAGTCTAAGTACTAAAGGTTTTGACAGATCAAAATGTTATTGATATGATCACCAAGACATTTCCAAGTTACAAGTTTTTCCACTGTATGCGGTTGATAAAGCTGCATGAAGAAAGCTAGTTTGTTCTCTGATATTAGAGTTTGTTCCAAGGTGGAGATTTGTGAGGTATTGAATCAAACTCTATTGAGTCAAAGGGTAAGCTTTGTGGTTCGACAAGTTCGACAGAGGTTAGCATGCAGTCGAAGGTCGCTCACATGTTGGTGTCAAAGAAGTGTATGATGTAGTCGAAGTATGGACAAGCATGCACTCATCAAAAATTCTACGGTTGTTAACATGTCGAATTGGGCTTGTTGTCATGTCCAATTGTTTTAGTTATCTTGTACCCTAAGTTAGCTTGTAATTAGTATTTGTGAAAAGGCCCATTAGTTTAGTGTGTTAAGTTGATTATAAATAGCATACTAGACTCTCATCATTTAATTCTGCAAATCCTAATTTAGGGTAAGAGAGGTTATTTGTTATTCTTGTATACTTGAAATCTTTTTTAAAGAGAAAATAAAGAATAGATGTTATAATCAATTCTTTGTGTTCTTCTTGCTTTCCTGATTCGTACCTTATGGGTTTCTTGCCTCAAAGAAACCTATTATATTCTATTCTTGACATCGTTTTCACGACACCTATGTACTTTGTGAACAAATTAATATATTAATATTCTGGGTAAACAATGTAATAATTTTTGTAAAAAAAAAGATTTAATCTTATTCCTCGGTTTTATTTAAAACCGAGAGGTAAGAGAAGCCAATATTTTAACAAAAAATATCTTATTCACCCCGGTTTTTATCGTAACCGAGGGGATATTTAAGAGTTTTATTTTTACTATGTTCGCCGGTCTTAAACAAATTGTTTCCGTCTATTTAATGATTATCAATGCTCAAGACTCTGTCATTAGTGAACCACGTGAAATCTAAGAGAAATTAATTATAAAAGTTCTCTATGAAACATGCTGAATATTGAAAATTATCCTAAATGAAGCATGATGCGCTTGAAACCTAAAGACCCTTATTTTTTTTGTAAGTAGAAAATTCTCTATGATGAATTTCAAGAGCCGAAAATTATTTGAGTTAAGGTTTGTTTTCTGAAAATATTTTTTTGAGAAGAAAATCATTTCTTCATCTAACCCTTATCTATCTAACCTTTTTTATTTTATATCAGAGACAAATGCAAGGAAAAACAATTCAAAATATATTGCATCCAAGATTTTCTCTTCCTTGAACTTCAATTATTCAAAGATCTAAAATCTAGATCTTCATGGAAATTGATTTTTAATGTAATAATCTCTATAAACAATGTAATTTGAGTATTTTTTTTCAGCTTCCTGTTTCTTATTTTTAAACTGGTTTGCTTTGTGATTTTGCTGTTGTTACATCTAGTTTGTGAATCACTTTGAAACTCTCTTGTACCCTTATTTGATTATAGTGGAGCACCTTGTTCCAATGTAATTTGTAAACAAATAACTATTAATATTCTGGGTATACAATGTAACAAAAAAAATTATTTAAAAAATGATCTTACCCCTCGGTTTTATTTGTAAACCGAGAGATATGATAAGTTAATTTTGAAAATAATTAATAAAAATGAAGCTGCTAGGATTCGAACCCGTGTGCGTATAACTTTATATCTCAGTTATTATTCCACTGAAGTGATAAGTGGAGACTTATCATGACGCCATTCATTACCTCACTTCTTTAGCCGAGGTAAATTGCATTTCACGTCCAACGTTAAAAGCGCTTTTTGTAGTAGTGGTGTCATCTAGACTTGTGTTGATAACGTCTAATTTAGATTGGTGTAACCGGTGTATTGGGTTGAGAATCTTTGGGGGTTTCATCAGGAAAAACCTTAGGGTTTGTCCTCCAAGATGATAGCGTTGATTTGGGTGTTTGCACAAAATTTCACAAATATTGGATTCGATCGAGTGAAAGCGTCGAAGAACATTGAATTTTGTCCAAGGAATAGCGTGAGACAATGAATCGTTTGAAAATTTTGAGACACGGTAATACACAATTGAATTCGATCGAGTGAAAGCTTTAAAAAACGAGTGTTCTTACAAAATAGTAGCGTGAGACGGTAAATCAATTGGTATTAACAGGATACTTGGTCGAGCTCAAGATCAAGGAAAGAGAAAGGGTTAGAATCAACATCAAACATTAAATTTGTAGGATTGCAATGCTACATTTCTCTTATAATCAACTTTTTATCAAGTAAGATTGATATATCAATTCCATTTAGAATTGAAAATAGACGGAGTCATAGCGAAGACGATCGACAAACCATTAAATTAATTATTATTATTATTATTATTATTATATTTAGAAAAGAGTTAATTAGCAGAATATATTACAAGAAGTTTCTTAATTAAATTAAAAAGCTAATTAGATTAATTAACTATGTTTTACTAAATCTGTTTATTAGCTGCAAACACACTTATAGAATCTATAAAGGGTGGTCCTTGCTTGTAATAAACACTTACTCTTCTACTTAATTATAACTTAATACAACACTCCCTCATAAAATAAAAAGACAAATTAAGCGGTGGTGAATATGTTTTTTCTTTCTCCAAATCAAGGTATATGCATGTGGCAACTCACAAGCATGGAGTGTGCACACGTTTCAGCTTTGCATGTTAATCAAACTCATTGTTTTTACTTCTTACCTCAAATAATAAATTTCCTTTTCAGTCCATATTTGCACACTCACATGCTTCTTTATCTTCGGCTCCGACACGTCATATGTGCATGTTTGCATGCAATTCACTATATATAAGAACATCATAAGAATCACTCACATTCACTTCACCTCTCAGCTAAACCACTACTACATTCCATTTGCGTTATAACTTGTCATCATGGAGAGGAAAACACTCAGCTTTACGTTCATGCTCTTCCTTCTCTTAGTAGCTGGTAAATACAATATATATATTGATAATATTCCTCGTTTTCAAATACTATGTGTTTAATCATTTGAAACATTTATCTGTGTTGTGTGGTAAATGAATTACAGATGTTTCGGTGAAGACATCGGAGGCCTTATTAGGCCGCTGTAAGGTTAAGAGCAACAGGTTTAATGGACCATGCTTGACGGACACACACTGTTCAACGGTATGCAGGGGAGAAGGTTACAAAGGTGGTGATTGTCACGGCTTCCGTCGCCGCTGTATGTGTCTTTGTTAGTTCAACAATACCCATGCAATCCAATGCAATATCTACCTTCTAATCACTCCTTCAATCATCATAAATAAATATTCCAGCCACGGTTTTTTAAAAATATAATCTTTAAGTATGTTCAGTTTAATGTGTAATAGATATTATGCACGTTGTGTTGTAATACTATGGTGCAAATAAATTTGGGATATCTCCCATAATCCATTTCCTTTTATTGCATTTGGTTTGGAATAATAGTTACTATATTCTATTAAACTTCTACGTGTATAGGTATTGGGCCTACGATTAATTCATGGTACTTTATAAAGTCTTCGTTAAAACTAAAGCTCGTTAATTAAATATCATTTATACCCTTATAATGAGAACTTCCAAAAGCACCTTTAATATAGATTAAAAATAAAAATAAAAGGGACTGATTTTTTTTAAAATTAAAAATAAAACTAATAATGGATATATTGAGTCTAAAAAATTTAGAAAAACATAATTTCACTATCATAAAATCCTTCATCAGAAATTAAAATATTTTAATTTCTAAAACTAATAAAATATTTTATTTTAAATTTTTTATGGTATGTTTATTTTTAAATTGGTATTATATTTATATACATTATAAATATTAATTTTAATATAAATTAGTATGATATCTATATTTATATACATTATAAATATTAATTTTAATATAAATTAATAATTTTAATATAAATTAGTATGATATCTATATTTATATACATTATAAATATTAATTTTAATATAAATTAATATGATACCGTGGGTTCGTACGTTAACAATTTTTTATAAATAATTTCTAAAACTAATAAAATATTCTATTTTAAATTTTTTATGGTATGTTTATTTTTAAATTGGTATTATATTTATATATATTATAAATATTAATTTTAATATAAATTAGTATGATACTCGTGGGTTCGCATGCATATCGGTTTGACATTCATATTCTTCTAAGAAGAAGAGTTTATGTATGAAGAAAAAAAACTATAATTGAAAGTATATCAGCGTTCTAACAGTCATACATTTATTATATTTCAATAAGATACAAATATTTTATTTATTATCATTTTTATTTTTGATAGAAAAATAGTATATAATTGATAGAAATGATATGTATTGATAATGAAAAATATAAATACTTATCCAATAAAACAGTAATGTAAATCAAAAATATAATACTGTCAAACATTATCTATTCATTATACTCTTAAAATTATTACAATTATACATAGTTCACATATGTTACATAAAATAAATTGTGCATTTAATAACCATAGTAGTGAAATTTAATATTATTGTAATTTAAGTAAAGACACTCGTAACAACAAAAAATACCACATGTTTTGACATAAATATATATTCTTTTTAGTTAAACAAAATATCTTAGATAGATTGAGTTTTTCACGTGTCTTCAAAAAGGATTTTCATAAATTACGGTCTACGCCTACATACTTTTTATCAGCCTCATACATATTAGGCTACCATTACCGTCAACCATGAGTTGTATTGCCATGCTCCATCGATATAAAGATCCCGTTCACATGACGATAACAGATGCAGAAGTGCAGCGTATCACCAACCTTCAAATTGGCTTCCTTAGCATAGTCATACCAGTCACCCAAAAGGTATTTTTCTACACTCCATTTTCTCTTCTTCAACAGGCAATAGTATGGGACTCCGTTGTTGGAATCGTAAAGCCGATTTGGTTTGTCCCCTCCATAAATACAATTTTTTATTATGTTTCTGGAGATTTGCTGTTAATGGACAAATATTGTTAAAAGAATAAAACATGTAACTGATTTTGTATAGTTTTGTTATCAATGTTCCCAATCGAAAGTTATAGATACAGACAAGTTTTGTACTTACAAGAGTATTAGAACACACTATCATGGAATCAGCTACAACCCGACTCCAGTTTTGTTCGAAAGTTTTCTCATCAATAGGACTATATGGCCTGCAATATTTCAACAGAAGCAATGAATTCGTTTAAAGGTTGTTAGTTACCTGATAACATATTTTATTTGCAACTAAAAATCAGGAACTGCATATTACTTATATCACAACTATAAACAGTTTCGCAGATGTTATGTTTATGTTTTCAGGTTCATCCGGAGGAAGTAACCCTTAAATACTTATTGTACATAATCATTTTCGTTATTGATGTAGCAGAAAAAACATTACACAGTGTTTCCAAACCCATTAACCATCAACAACATTATCCATGACCACAAATAACCAATGATAGACACACATGCAGATATAAATAAGTATGCATTTCTACAAATCAAACGACACGCACCACATTGGGAATGACATATCAAACTGATGAACTTACCTTGATAATTTTTCCTCGTTGTTGGTTACGGTTTTTGAGAAATCTTTGGTGGTCATGTTCGGTTGATTTGAGGAGGAGAAGTCACACTGTGTATGGAGGGTTAGCTTTGAACAGGACTCTGTTTTGTGTACACCATGTGAGAATGAGAGTACATGTATAAGTGGGCTCTATTTTGTTTTAATATTGATTACATCCTGACTATTGATCTATTTATTTTATAAAGTAATCAAAAAAATGAATTTTTTTATTTAGTGTAAAAAGATATAATATAAAAAGGTATCCGTTGTATATATTAGGGAATAATTTATTTTAAAAAAAGAGATGGTGAGTCAAATGGGCCATTGGGACGATGATAAAGAAGGAATGGAAGTACAAAATAAACATTCTATGTAATAGGATTAAAATGAGTTTCCAGTGAGAAATACAGAAAAAGCGCTTCCCCTCAAAAGTACAAAGTGCAACTTATCAAAATCCGGAGTAGACGTAGAAAGAAAAGTGCAGTTCAGCTTCCAGTTGAAGATGAAGAATGGTGGGGGAAAATGGCATGCATATGAGTAAGTTTGTAGCTATCGATGTTCAAGTATTGGTTATTTTGTTCATGGAATCCATAATGTGTTTGTTAGAAGTTATATAGGTTGTGAGTAATATCACTGCATGATGAATATTGTTGCAGATCTGCGTCAGAGAATTCGTTGTTGGTTCAACGCCAAAAGATCGAAAAAAGTATAACAAATATGTTGAATCTTCATGTAAATTTCGCCAACAAACTAGTATAAAGATGGATATCATTAGTTTTAAAGAATAATGTTCTCTGTCCAGAATGCGTCTTGATTCTCCATCAAAAGAGAAAGGTTTCGATGAACCCCAACTGGCAGGAAGAAAATGTGATGTTAAAGGGAAACAGATTAATAATAGTTTTGTAGGCGCCAAAGGGGCAACAAACTCTGGATAAGTTTTGTTTTTGAAATTAATATATTTTAAAAAGGCATGGATTCTATTAAATGTAAGTGTTTTTTCCTGGTGTATAACTAATTTTTGTATATATATTGTTGTTGTCATGATAATAATGTTGTAAAATGTTATGTATATATTATTGATGTACAGTCCTGATAATAAGGTTATACAAGTATGATTTATGTAGGTCTTCAGTTGGAAGTTCTGTAAGTGTATAGTTCTTAGTCCCTTGTGGCTGGGGTTTTTTAGCAGAATTATAGAGAATACTAATACAACAGAACCCAATTATATTGTTGTGTTATTTTTTATGATGTGGGTTTGTTTGAAAATTTTAGTTGTATTGAAAATGCATAAATAATATGGTATATGTTGAAGTTTTCAAGTATCTTTAGAAGGATAAAATGTATTGGATAAGATGCATGGAAAAAATAGACTAAGATTAGTTTTGAATAGATTTGGTTTGGTGATTGAATCAGGAAAGTTACTCCAATATATATGGAAGAAAATGAAGTAAATGGAGCAGGGTTGTATCTAATGCTAAGGTTATGAGTAGGAATGTGTTGGTAAGTAATAGAAGTTAATTGTTACAGCGGTATATGTAATTTTTTCAGGGTTGAATTTCATGTAATTTATCTATATGTTTTGAAGCAACTACTGCGTGAAGCGATTAAGAAGTGCCTAAGTGGACCGGTTAGCTCGATTGTGTTATATGATTCAGACAAGGGTATCTCAGAAAACTGTGTATTGAAAGTGAGGAATGATGACAAAGGCGATAAGTATCATACTACTGGGTGGTATGAGTTTGCTAAACAGGAAAAGTTAAAGAAAGGAGATATTCTGCATTTATGCATTTGATATCCGTCGGCTGATGAAATATTAGTTTATGTTGAGGCGGGAAAGAAGAGACATGAAATAGATTGTGTTGGTTATGTAATGGGAAAAAAGGATTAGTTGTTTGTGTAGTTTGTTTATGTTTATTTCATGTTTTTAATTTTGTAAGGTTTGAACAATTGATATGATTTAGGTCAAGTGTTTAGTAAATGTTGGATGTTATGATATATATAAATTTTAGTAATTAATTTTTGATATGGTATACATATTATGCTAAAATGTTTAGATAGTTGATGTTATAATACTAAAAATAAAAACATGAATTCAACAAGATGTTTTTGAGTGATATAGTATGACAGGGCCATGAGTGATAAAGAAAGTAGTGTGGATTATTTGTTATCCTATGAATTGATGATCGTCACAATGATTATATCAATATCAATAATACTGATATGATAAGCATCAGGTTCCTATGAAACATAGAGTGGTGAAAATTTTTGTTTTACTGTAACATTAGGTGTATGCAGATGGTTAGGAATGTTGATAAAGAAATGTATAGCAAACAGAATGTCATGCTAAACAGTCCAAAATTAAATGGTATAATAATCAACCAAAGTTGGTGTGTGTTTAGAAACATAAAAGGAACAACATATATTTTTGAGACAGATGAGGCTTAACAGTAATTCCAAAATATATCAAACAGTGAGGTTACAAACTCATGTATTACACACTCTAAAGCAAGAACAACATAATGCAGACTAACAAAAGAGCAGGACTAATTTTTGAATAATCATATATTGCCGAAAACTTCATTGTAAACAACATTTGTAGTTGTTACTTTGAACTTTCCATGTTCATCATGTATCAATATTTTGATTCC